AAGAGGAGCATCGAAATGGATCCCAGATTAATGACTGCAGAAGTGGCCAAATTTGGTGGGATGAGCCCGAAATCTGTTCAACGGATTCTCCACAGATTTGGTTACTGTTTCAACGCAGCTAGACGGAAGGTCTTATTAAGACCTGCCAACATAGTCAGATGAAAGAAGTGGGCAAGTGATATGATGACCAAGCCTCTGGACGTTTGGAAGACCCTATTGTTCTCAGACGATTCAAGATTCGATCAATTTTCGGACAGTGGAAGGATATGTGTCTGGAGAATGCCTCACCAAGAGTTTTAGCTCAACAGATTGCAGCCAACTGTGAAGCATCGTGGTTTCAGCGTGATGGTTTGGGGAGCTGTTTGGGTTGGTGGGAGATCGAGCTTAGTGGAGTGCATTGGCAACATAAATTTCGCAAAATATGTCAAAATAGTGGAGGAAGGACTCTTGGCACTTTATTCCTTGGGTTTCGTGGACAAGAACACAAAGTTGTTCCAGGAAGATGGAGCACCGTGTCACACTGCTAGAAATACCCAAAATTGGCAGGAAGATAATGCTATCCAGAAGTTGCCCTGGCTGAGCCAATCTCCTGACATGAACCCCATCGAAAACCTCTGGGCCATACTCGACTGCAAGTCAAGAAACAACCAAAAAAACCAACTTCGAAGAGCGATCTACTCCAAGTTTTGAAGCAAGAGTGGGCAAAAATATTACAATTTAAAATTGACTAGATGATTCTCACGATGCCCCAAAGGATTAACGAACTCCACGAAGCGAAAGGAAGATCTACTGGATATTGATTAAATTATAAATATATCAATTCATGTGAATATGACTGAAAAATTTCATTTTTTCTGAAAAGGTGGTGTCTATTTACTTGTGACCACGCTGTGTACATTGGGATATTTTGCTTCAACTTCACACTATTTTTATCTGTTTTATTCCACCAGCACAAATTACTACATCTACCTTTTCACATATTATTTCTTTGAATCTTTATTTCTGGGTGAGGTCAAAAGACCTATGATTGACTTTGAAAAAATTCCTCTAGAATTGCTGACAATATCAGTTGTTCTTTTGCGGATTAACGCAGCTCAAGGACAGTGGTGGAAAGTTCCAATTCTGGTTTTGCTGTGATCCCCTGAAGTGATCTGTACAGCAAACTGCATACATCAGCATCCAGTATACTTGAAGTGGATAGATCATTTAAAGATAGCTAAAAATTAGCTGTAGTGAGCATACAGTGTTTGCTATCCTAGACCCTTCTCATGAGAAAAAAAAAGAAGTATTGACATTGCATGCAAACTCGAACCTGTATTTGAGCAGGCTTGGGAAGATACACAAATAAAAATTTAACATTCAGTAAAATGTAAAAGTTTTAATTGCTAGGAAGTAGCTGATGTTTGTGCTGACATGGGTTCCACATTTATTTCCACAAAATGATGTGTACAATGTTAGGTTGCCCTTCTACAACTGACAGGAAGTAGTGAGGTTAAACCTATCACTTGATCATTTAAGGGCTCAATGAAGGTTGGTTTTCAATTGCTTAAGTGGTTTCATCAGGTATCCACATGGAATTCCTAGACTCAGAAATAAATGGTATAGCATCTTCTACTTAGTTTAAGTACAGTGGTGATAGACAGTGTAAATTATCTACAGCTTTACCAACTCTACAACTGGGAAGCCATTGTTGCAGAAGTTGCAGTTCGTGCTGGTTGAAAACAGTCATCTATTGGGTAGAACTCATAAACATGGTGCCAGTGAGAACTTGAATGTATGTCCCAGCATTTTAGCAGTTGAACAAGAGGATATTATAGTGAATATGTTTGTAGAGTGACTACCTGGTGAGTGTATGCAAGAACACTTGGGTGTTAAAGATATTATGTCTCCAACCAAAGTTGTTTCTGTGGCTAGGTATAAAATTGTAATTTCAACTAAATTTCCAAAACAAAAAAACCTGCAGTGGTAGTTACATTGGCTCCACTAAAACCACAGTGAATGAGTGTGCAGTCCACACATTATGAGAACTCCCAGCAGATGGTGCCATGTCAGCATGTGCCATACTCTAGCTCAGATTAGCCTGAATGACTGCCACATGAGTGGCAGGGATATCAAGATATTGATGGAGAGATGTTTTAATCCACAGAATGAGGAAATAAGTGCTTGTTATAGCTGTGTACAATTTCTGGTATTAAACATCTTTTCTGTGTACAGTATATAAACTGGGTCTGATAATTTAAACAAATATGTCCCATATCAGTTCTGGCTACTAATCCAAAAGAAAATATCCATTTCCTTGGGTATGGTGGTTAGTAGAACATCTATAGGGCCAAGTGTGACTTAGAGTTTACCCGTTAGATTACAAAGGTACAAGGTAGACTCTTTAGTTGATTCAGGTATCAGTAATACTTTGCTCTGTCTTGTGGTGTGTCACTTACTATTATTTAAAGCACAACTCCATCAAGTAACCACAGACATTTTCTTCACAGATGATGATTGACTCATAATGAATGAAGAAGCTCAAAGCCATATAATTGTTTTTACCATCACCAAAAATGTGAAAATTGTAATAGCAAGACTCAGTTCAAGTATAGGTATATTAGGCTTAGATTTTCTATGTATGTTATCTTTTAATATAGACTGTCCTCTCCTTTGTTTGTCATCCAAGAAATGTGAACTATAGAGGGACATCAACAAAATCATAATATAGAACAAGAAGAAAAAATAAGCCACCAACTGTCTTATTGCCCTTCCATATGAAACTTGGAACTAAACTTCATTGCTGTTATAGAAAATATGGTATTTTTATCAATGTTAAAATCAAAAGGTCAAATATCTTGTATCTAAACTTGAACAACAAAATGTTATTTATAGTATATGATGTAATTGTGGAAATCAGTACATTGGAAAAGCCCAGTAGACCTCCAAGTTCACATTAATGAACACAAAGACCACCCACTCCCATTTATGATAAAGCAAAATTGGCAATTGTTGAACACTAAGTGCAAATAAGAAATCCAGTGGTATAAAATTGAAAATTAACCAAACACCAAAACAGGAAGAATAAAGCAAGTCATATGCATTAAAATACAAAATTTGAACCAAAACATGGACTGAATCATACCTATAATGGAATACAAATCAGAGAAATGTGGAATAACATAATTTTGTCTTAGCATTGATTAGATTTATTTATAATGACCTTGTTAGATCTATGTTTCTATTCATCTCTTTTTTTTTTAATGTTCAGTATAATTATAGGTATGTATAAAGAATGTGTGATTTTATATGTAGTTTTCATTGTCATTAATCATTCCTGTAAGTATAATTGTGTAATTGATATAATGCACTGACTGTTGTATGCTTTTATGCAATACATGGTTAATTTTCACATGTTTTGAAATGTTCTACATTGTTGTGTTTAACATAGTGTTCAAAGAGGAAGGAGGATGGTTTGTGAAATACTTGAAGCTGAGTAGTCTATTTCCTGTTTTTCATGTGTATTCTTTACTTATTATTATTAGAAGTAACTAAAATGTAGAAATTAGAAACTTATTAGGTTAGATAAGTTACATTAGGTAAGATTATGAAAAATAATAATAAAAATTCTTCACAAGGTATACTTGCAAGTAGCTCATGTGTTACGTAATTCAAGATGTTCGCCCAGTGATTTACAATTTGTGTGGAGGGATTATTAGTTACACACAGTTCAAAGGACAATAAAACAATAAAATTAAGTACAAACAGATGTATACTGTTACAAGTTATAGTATGGAAACTTCGTGGTTATGAACTCAGTCACATCAACCAAGCCCATAGCGAGAGGGTTTATTTGCTCTCTCCTCAGTCCCTTGCCACCATAAATATTTATTGCATCATCTATTGAACCTTTCTCTTCTGAGAAGCTTAAAGTTTACTGAAAGGTAACAGGATAGTTTCAGGCCCTCCTGAAAAGAAATGGTATGACATCCTGTCCCACTTTAAGCATTGGTGTTCTTATTTGAAAGTACTTATTAATGAGTATGCAAGCTTGCATTTAATAAATACATTGTGGGTTTAGCACTTATTCTGTTAAGTTTTTAACATAAATGAAAAAAAAAAACGACTGGAAACTTCAACATAATACATCCTCTAATTTCCAGTTGTTGTGGAGATCAGGTAACTGTATGCTATGTAACCTTTATATTAACACATATGTGCCTCTTTGTTGCTCTGATTTTATTCAGTAGGAAATTGAATTTCATCTTTCTAGTAAAGATGTTTTTGTGGGGTATTACAAGTACTGTGGTTTTTACCTGCCATTTGTAAAGAAGCAAAACGAAATAATCATTTACCATGTAAAGACATTGTTATAACATTTAAAAGGTAAAAAGATATATTACTCATTAAGAAAGGATTTGAAGATCCATGGCATAATCACTCTTTTTTTTCTTTTTTTTTTATTAACTTGACAAATAAGATGTTCATAAACATACAATTACAAATTCCCATCGTTTTTGTTTCAGCCTAGAAGTTGATGCTTCTTCAGGATGCATCAGAGAACTTGTCCTTAAGTGTCCAAAACTAAAAAAACTATTTTTAACAGCCATTCGGTAAGAAAATATGTATTGTTATCTTTATGTAAACAATCTGTGTAGGTTTGCACAATTTGTTTAACCTGTTTTCTTTTTTTCTTTTTTTTTTATAAGTGTGCTACGTTGACTTGTATATTTATCCAGCATGTAAAATTAATTGGAAAACAGTTTCAGACTGACTTCTTGTCAACTTTTTGTGCATTTTTCATAATATCATTAAATATATCCCATTGATAATTTCAAAATGTGAACAAATTATATATATGTTTATTTTAATTTTGCTAAATCATATTTTTTGCATTTTTATTCTCATTATATTTGAATATATTTAGTTGTTTTTAATACCATAAGATTTTGTACTGATTATTGTAGCTGGTAATTGTCATTTCATAAAGTAAGATTTCTAAATTGCTTAGTAATGAACTTTTGAGTCAAGTATCTGTACTTGTTAAACTAAATGTAATAAATACATTTTGCTACAAACCAGTAAAAAAATAAGGTTTAAGTTTCAGTAGTCAAGTATATATTACTTTCACATTTAGCTATGTTATATGTGTAGTTCAACACCAGTTCCCATGTTTTCATGCCTATTCATATCAGAAGTGTTCTTCTAGTCTCAGTTTATTAGAACACTTTCAACAATTCACCACAATTCTATTATTAACAATTTTATCAGTGAACAAACTTCATTACTTTCAGGCTTTAGCCACAAGTTTCATTAATATCTAGATTGCTTTCATTGTTGCTTCTTGCCATAATCTTGAAGTAAGCATTCCTTATTCATGCATTGCTGATACACATGGCATGTTTTTATATACTTAATCTGTTGTCATTATGTAGATTTGTATGTTCTCACACTCTTGTTTCTAGCCACCGAGTGGTAAGTCCTGTATACCTAGCATTACAAGTAGGACAAAGAGATTTCTAAACAACATTAGATGTTCTTAGTTCAGAAATATTATCTTAAACTTAAAGAAACAATTCAATCTACTGCAGGTTTGAAAATAACTCTTAGATCTATTCAAGGATAAACTGTAGGAAAAAGATTATGCAGTTGCTTTCTCACTAAAAACCAATTTTATTCCAGTAAAAAGCAGTACCATTGATATAGATAATTTTGACACATTTATGATTTGTTGTTTTGATGTCTGAACTCCTCTTAAGTAGATTCTAATGATCTTGTCTATATGATAAATAGGAAAATCAATCTTTTACAAGAAACATTTTATATTCTTCACTTCTTTACAAAAATATTCATAAGTACTCATGATTTATATAAGGTCAATGGATTGGTATTTCCACAAGATTATCTTTCTACTTATGTGGGATGAGACTAGCAAAATTGAAGTATAGTCCTGTGAAAGTTTAAAGTTGTTGATCTCTTGATGTTCTGCCCTGAACTTTATATTATTGTGTCTACTGTTCATATATTCATGGAACTGATTTGTATATATATATATATGTTTCACTTCATTAAAGATGAAAAAACTATCATCCACTTTGATAGTATACAGGTTTGAAATTCTCTGGACTCTCCCTCTACCTTTGTTTTCTATGGTAGCTTAAAGATAGATTAGCTAATGATGGACCTAAACTGGACCCCATTTCAGCTTCATCAGTTTGGTCATAGATGCTTCCATCAAAAAGAGTATGTGATTCCTAGGTGGCAACTTCCAGTAGTTTATGAAAAACTGGCTTGGGGAATCTGATCATTTCATAGCGGCTCTATAAGGATTCAATGTCCAAACTAGCACAGTATACATTTCTATCAAATCTTATATCCTTCCTTTTACTGGAAAACATAAAATTATCTTTTATGGTATGCTCATTATGAGTAAACTGATCCAAACATTCTACTAAGAAACCTGCTAATTCATGGTTAAAAGTACCTATATTTAAAACAATAGTTCTAACTATACACCACTCTTTATGAATCTTTGGACTACCGTATAATATGCCTAGATGGCGTTCAGAAGTTCAAATGTTCCCATTTTGTCAATAGGACATCTTTTTTTTTTATCTCATTAAGAAACCTTTGAAATCTATTTTCCCTGGTTTTGGGTTCATTGTTACCTCTTTGGGGGTCAGCTCCCGATTATAATGTTTGTCTTACCCATGCCCAATATTCTCCCCTTCGTCTTACCCTAACCACCCTTCTACGGTATCTTTCTTCCATACATCTCCTCTCTGAGGCACTTCACAGAAATCCTGAAGGGTTTTCTGTGGATACCCTGCATATTCTGTCCTTCACATTAGCCCACATTTCTTCCTTGGCTCTGGCATTACACAAGCGGTTTCTTTGTTGTTGAGACCTTATTGTTAGGGATGCTATATTGGCTTGGGTCAGTTTACCCTCTCCATATCTACAGGACTTACGTCTTTCTCTGTTTTTGTGACGCCATATCTTTGGTACTGTCCCAGAAACTATCGAGCCACGGGTTACATCAGCCCATCAGCAATCTACTCTCATGTACTTTGTCGGCCGTTTATCTCAGTCAGGGCCTCATATGCCCTCTATTCCCGTTTCCTGTTCTTGATCCTCCCAACCCTTACCTGTTCCTGATAGTCAAGGTACTTCTTTAAGTCGATTTCCTCGACAACGAAACATCCGTCGACAACAGTACTGGTGACTACCCTTTGAGTTTGGGGGCCAGTAGGAGCTTGACTGTTGGACTTTCTTTCTCACTGGCATCCCTTCATTGATGATCAATAAGTGATATGGGTTCTGTCAGAAGGATTCATTTTCCAGATTCTTTCCCCTCCTCCTCTCTCTCCTTGCCCCATTTCCTTTCCTTTTCCTCTTCCTCTAGATCTTGTGGTATACCAGCATCTGTCAGAGGCAGTTCAAGAATTGCTTTTGCAGTGGTCTATCAAACTGGTTGGCTATCCTTCCAGAGGTTTTTATTCCCATCATGTCATGGTCCCCAAGTAAACCGGGGATTGGTGGCCAGTTATTGATTTATCTCACCTCAACCACTTCATTGCACTTCCCAAGTTTACCATGGAGTTTACCAATTTCGAGCCCTTCCCTTCAGACATGCATCAACTCTATATGTATTTTGTTGCATTCTGGGCATTTACTCGACATCTTCATGCTTTGGGGATTTGTTTTCATTATTAAATGGACGACTGGCTTCTGCTGGCTTATTCCAAACAGGAATTGACCAGTCATACCTACCAACTCCTTTCTATGGCAGCTCAAGCAGGCTGGTTGATCAAACTGGAGAAGTCATTCCTTTGACCTACACAATGCCTGGTCCATCTAGGGGTCTTTTTAGACACCAATATCAGTCGTGCCATGCCTTCTCCTTTACATCTTCGGTCCATGGAACTTTTAGTTCACTGAGCCAGCTCGACTTGGCCACTTATTGCTTGTGAGGTTCTATCACTTTTTGGGATGTGGTCCTCCATGACTCCTCTCGGTCGTGCTCACATGAGATCCCTGCAATGGGTACCTCACAACCATTGGAACCTTGCTCGAGATTCTCTTTCTACCATCATCTCCCTTCCTCCTTCAATGATCTGCACTGGTGGCTGGACAAAGCTCATATGTAAATGAGGGTGCCACTTCCTCCCCGATGTCCAGATATACATTTGTTCACGGACACATACCTTCAAGGATGGGGGACATGGATCAATCACCAGGAAGCTTTGGACCATTGGTCTAAAGATGAAACTGTCTTGCATATCAATGTTTTTGAATTTCTGGCAGTACATCAGGCTTTACATCACTTCCTTCTTGTCTGTCATTGTCTGGTGATGGTTCATTCAGACAACTCTACGGTGGCACCTGGTCCATAGACCTCTGTTTTTAGATGTTGGAGCTCTTATACTGGGCCCATGCACATCACAATTGTCTTATCGCATGTCAATCTAGTCGTAGATCGTCTTTCATTACTGGGCCAGATCTTTCCTGTGGAGTGGGCGTTGGATTCTCACATTTTCCATGACCATTGCCATCATTAGGGTTCTCTCCAATTAGACGCTTTTGCCACGAACCTCAATTCCAAGTTGCCCCTTTTTTTGGTCACCAGTACTGCATCCCTATACCTTGGCAGTCGATGATTTCAGCCAGGATTGGTCACACAAATACCTGTATGTGTACCTTCCAATACAGTTGCTGCATCGGGTGATTTCTCTAGTCCATTCCACTCCTTGCCGAGTCCCCCTTTTGACCAGCACAGCCTTGGTTTCCCAGGTTACAGCATCTGCTTCTGACACCACCAGTTCCTCTTCCATTTTCTCTCTCTCCCTTCTTTGTTAACCTTGATCCAACCTCCTACATCCCAATTTCCCCATCCTCTGGCTTTTGTTCAGTCCTTGGTAGGAGGATCTGTTTTTGCACATTGAGTTGCCTTGTTGTGCACCCTCCTCTGTTGGAAATATCATGTTCCAACATGTCTCTCATGCAAATCATCATGCATCATCTCTTAACCAATGACATGCTCACATGATGCATGTGACTTTCTCTACCGAACCTTCACATCGAATTTTGGCAGAAGGTGCAAGCACTGGAAAGTGGGGAGAAGGGTGGGAAGTATGAGGGGAGGTAAATAACTATTGGAAATACATTTTCAGTATAGGAAAATTATAACTTCCAATATGACACTTACCTCCTCTTCCAAGATTAGCTAGAATCCCATTTTGAAAAGGAGGAGGGACTGGTGCGAGGGAACAAAAGAAGCACCCCTGAAAGTGTCCGAAGGATACCTCTGAATCTGAGAGATAGAGATCTGAAGATCAAAAGAGGGGAATCGCAATAGTTCTGAGCCAGGTATACTCTTCGCTTTTGTGGACAGTGTGACATGCACAAGGGCAGAAATGTAAGGTGTAGAGTGGCTAGGGCATGCCGGACCGTACTTGGATGTCAGCTACATCCAAAACCTCCCAGCAGGGCAATGACATCCACATGGGGGTAGGATAAAGATCATATCATCTTCAACTCAAACCCGAAAATCAGGGGTTTAAGACCTGCAACAGGATGCCCTTCAAATGGAATCATCTCCCCCAACCATGGC